CGTGTTTGTGTGTGTGTTTTGACCGGAAATTCATAACTTTCTTCAAAATAGCGATAAAGCGCTCAAATTCATAAGTGATGTAGGGGGTCGGGCAGGAACATTATTGTGGGTGGCAGGAAGTGATAAGAGCTGATAAGATACCATACCGGGCTTAGAAGGGGAGGGTCACCAACTCCATAGCGCGGGCCACAGCAGCGATGGGGCGTTGGTTTCAAGAGGTAAGATAGGGTGCAGGATGGGAACATTATTGGTGGGTGACAGGCCATGATAACAGCTGATAAGATACCACAAGGGGGCTTAGAAGGGGTTAGTTGCCTAATTCGTAACGTCGGCCACAGTAACGACCGGGCGTTAATTCCAAGAGGTAAGATAGGGTGCAGGATGGGAACATTATTGGTGGGTGACAGGCCATGATAACAGGTGATAAGATACCACAAGGGGGCTTAGAACGAGAGGGCCACCAACTTCATAGCGCTGTTCACAGCGGCGGTAGAGCGTTGCTTCCAAGGAGTGATGTAGGGGGCAGGATAGGATCATTGTTGATGGGTGGCAGGAAGTGATAACAGCTGATAAGAAAGCATAAGGGGCTTCAGAAAAGGAGGGTCACCAACTTCATTGAGCGGGCCACAGCGACGGTAGAACTTCCAAGAAGTAGAATAGAGGGCAGGATGGGAACATTATCGGTGGGTGGCCGGAAGTCATAACAGCTGTTCGGCTGATAAGATACCATAGTTGGAGAGGAAGCCTTAAAAATTCATAACAGGAATTGTGGTAACACGGGATCTGCTTCTAGCACGTAACTCGGGAATTGGTTTTACGAGACAAGTTGTGTGAACTAGATTTTGTAGCCCAGAATCAATGGGCAAAGCCGTGGTGAGTTAAGATGTTTTTATTCTTCAGCGATGTAGTTGGAACGACCGCTAAATCCACGATTTCGACAAAAAGTAATAGCTCAAATTGTTTGCCATTGAGGAATTATATATGTGCAGATATATGAAAGCTAGGCTGTCCTATTTCCAACAAATGGTGGGTGTTCTCAGATTTTGATAAGCAGCCGACACTGGCAAATGTTCATTAAAAAAGAGAAATGCAATACAATCGGCCGTATTTCGAAACATGGGAATTAAGCCAAGTGTTAGTGGGCAACACAGTAATCCCGACAGTGACCATGTTAACCATGCGCGCAGTAGTGCGCGACAGCGACGTAACGGTAAACTGCAGACTTCGCACTTTGAGCATCGCGCTGTGGTCATCCCCGGCACGATTACCCTGAAGATGCTGCGCGCGCTCATACGGTCGCACAACCGCGAAGTATGAAAGCGGTCGTATTTTGCATAATCGAAGATCAGGCGCGCACCTGACGAAGCTCAAAGGAAGCAAAACAGATGTTTCAATTTGAATCGCTTTACATGACTTGCACAGTGCTCGCTGTTATAATGTATACATCACCCATTCAAGAGCGAAAACCCTTTTGGTCTCCATTGTGTGTAATCTTTTTTTCAGATGTCAATCACTGTAAGGAATGTAGAAAGTCTCGCCGTACTCAACCAACTTGATGGGTCACATCCAAAAGCTGGCCACAGTGCTTCACCAGAACGGTTCCACTGATACAACCGGGAATTATTTGAAACAACCAGATCCATTTCCCTGTCGCCGTTTCCCCAGATAGGGTACTCTGTGAGAAGCGTTGCGTATAAAGGTGCCGTTTGCTACGCATTGCTGAAGGAGCACTGTGTATAACTCACAAAATGCCACATTCTAATAAGGCATGTAATTGCAGGACCCGCAAAATGAACGTGCAAAATTGATTGAATTGCTACGACATTGATGAAGTGTACAGAAGCTGTTTCCAACTGCTCTCTTGAAGAAGCCATTTCGAGCGCAGAATGCTTAAAGTTAAGGAAGCGGGTACACTTTAGAGGAAATGTCCCCATATTGATGGGCGAGGCGCCTAAACATGATAAGGAGACGTTTGTTCCTCCTTACTCGACTTTACCTCCAGTTCAACGGAAATTAGTGGGAGACGCCACATCATAAACATTATTGTACAAGATTCGATGCTTTTGTGAGTATAGTGTGGTGATATTCCCATGTTGAGTTCATAGTAGCCAACGTAAGATGCTACTCGCTGGTCGCGGTGGTTGATTATGATGCTCTAGCGCCGAAACCGCGCCGCGACCGCGCGCTCGCAAAGGCCGGATGCTCAAGTGCGAGTCTGTAGTTTACCGTCACCCCGCGACAGCCAGTTGTGCCATCGCAAAATCCGACTTGGATCGCGTCCGAGAAACTTTCGCTGGAACATTGCTTTTCGCTGAAAAGGTTATTCAGTGCTCTGATCACAAATATGATATTGATTTTTGGCGCTAGCAGGCGCCAATTTGACCCCACCATCTCGCCAAAATTGATGGAAACTTATCAGGGCATATCATTAGTTGGGGATTTCGGTCGGGTCCGTACGACAACCGCCTCCCTTTTTTTGAAGGGGTTGGCATGACTTCCCCTGTTCCCTCTTCATCGAGCTGTCGAGCGGGGGAGGGTAAATAGCACATGTGAAACGCGCCCTCTCTACTGTTTCTTAGATTTTCCTCAACTTCCAACTAGTCTTTCCAAAATTTCCCGAAAACTCCTAGTTTTGCCTAGAAATTTTGCATGAATCTAGCATAAAACAGGAAAGCAGGAAAGCCACGAAAAGTCAGCAAATTCTCCCAAAAGGTCAAGAGGGAAATACGATCCTTCTTCCAACAACGAGCAAATGCTTATTCCCCACTCCACTCTCCTCTTCCAACAACGTGCAAATACGACCTCCGTCCTTCACAACGTCCTTTGAACAAGAAAAATCGACTACCAAAAAAAATTTGTTCTCGCAAGGGAATTGTTTGAACTTCCCATGGAACTTTGAATGGAGACCTAGGTACATCGATAGAGCCTCGAATGCTGATTACGAATATGCAGATTAAAAGTGCTACGGGACCTCCCAGACGAGATCTGGGTGGTCAAAGTTTGAGTTCTGGCTCGTAAGCGCTGCTGATGCGAGACCATTACCATGAGGCCACGGTGGCACTGCTTCGGCAGTGCCACCGTGGCCTCATGGTAATGGTCTCGCTTTCAAGTCAAACTTGTGCGGGTTGCATCCGGCTGATCTACTACGCTGCCGCAAAGTATAAACGCAGCCTAACTGGATCTGTTTGGTGGACGGTCAGGCCTCTCTAGTTGGCAATCTGATCGATGTGACTTCTAATGTGCCGTGAAGCAATTCACAAAGTCAGCAGGTCACGCTTACTTCGCCCCTTTGTTGCCTTTTTGACAATTAAAAAACAACCATGGGAAAGAGAAAACCGCTCTTGACTCCTCTTGACTTTATGCAACATCGGACAACTTTGTCCCACAAATTTCTTGAGAATGTTTTCAAAGAAAATGTGGTCGCCATCGTTTCATAACCAGGGCACATCAGCCGTAACTTTGGTTGGGTTCGTATGACAGCCACCCATCGAAGGGGGCATGGTTCGACCCCCCCCCTTCTTCCTTTCTACTAGGTCATCCCATTCAAAAACGCCGAAGGTCTTATAAAACGAAGAGAAAAACAGATAGAAAAGTAATATTTTGGCTTTGAGTTCAAGTAGATCCCTCCTTCACCAATGACCCGCTCCCAGTGCCCGAAAGCGTTTGGACCTCTGGTACCTTCGGTTTTTCAACAAGTGCGAGTAAATTGCTGTTGATGCCAATTTCGGCGAATGACAAAACATTGTAGCGTTTGCCGTCGGAGAGTACCCTCGACTGACCAGAACAGTTGGAATCGGCTTTATGTTGAGCGAATGGGGCGATTGAACCCAGGTCTCAGTATTGTTTGTGTCCCAGCACTGCCCTACAATACAGTTACTCGGGGTCTGGCACTATGACGAGCAATGGTGGCCTTCT